CAGACATCGTGCCCCTGAATGATTCTGGAATTGCACATTTCATGATCATTAGACTCATGCGGTTTGAGTGTTCCCACCTCTCCATCTCCCTCTTTTCATCAAGGGTAGACGTGTCCTTAAGAGCGGCGAGTTTCTCAGTCCGAAGTGCAAAGTCTAGATCCATGCAACCGAGAACAATCATAACGTTCTCTTTCCATTCCTTCAAATTCGTGCCGTTAAGCACTGATATGCTATTAATATTAGCAGATATTGTAGCAGCAGAATTGTTGACTGAAAGAGAACAAAAATAATATAAATGACATGCTCTAGAAATTGAAAATAACTTGATAATTAATTTTAAATATTAGCATTCTCCATCACAAGATACCTAGCGCAACATCTAATCTTGTCTTTGGACACAAATTAGACTTGCAAGTGGTAGTCTTGGTGTAATAATAAAATTTTGATAATAAAACCATGTCAAATATTAAACCTTTCTTTGGACCGACTTAATATTCACACAAAAACCTTATAATTATCACAATTTTATTACCACAAATGTACTTAAATTTCGGCCAAATAATAACCTTTTTTTGGGCCGATTATTATCCACATGAAATAAGAAAGTACACAATCATCTTAATATATGAGTTAATTAATTTCAACAAGAGAGACTACTTTGGTAGCATGTTATGTCAATTAACTAACCCAAATATTAGACATGCTAATATTAAATCAAAAAATCTTGAAAATAAAATTGGGCGAATTTTTCAGAATCACATGCAAATGTGTTACGTATAATGATAATTTGTAAAACCCGTACCCAATCGCTGTGTGATCGCAAAATAGCTTTTATACATCCCATAACACACAATACACATTTTCAAGCCGCAAATCATGTCCACCAACAAAAGTAATATATTCCAATAATACCCAAATATGTAATTCTAATAGAACTGATATGTTGGCCGTAATTACATATAAGTATTTAATTACCAAAACTGGTAATAATCATATATATGTACTTAATTACCAAAGCCATAGAAAAAAAAGATTAACTATTGAGCACTCAAGATCTATACACCATAAAGAGAATTTTATAATTCCCACTATAATTTTTGAATCGATTGAGTGTCGGCCGAATACCATTCCACTGATTCTAAAAATCAAGGTGAATACACATACCCAAAACAATCAATCGTGAGATTGACTAACAAAACTAAAAGAAGATTAACCCTACGGCACTTCAAGATCGGCAACATAAAAAAACAATTCCACTGTATATTTCTAATCAATTGAGTGCCGACTGAATCTCAAAAGAAAAATAAAATCAAGAATATTCTATTAATTCCATCCCATATTGCAGATCATGGCCGATACGATTATCAAAATACAGATTCATATGAATTCTGATTCCATTGTAAATACGTAATCGGCTAATCGCATATGGGATTGAATTGAAGTGCCCAAGAATAAATAAAATCCGAACTGCCACATTCAAAACGAAACAGATATGGCGGATTAAAAAAAATTCCGATGTTCCAATCGTAGATGATGAATACGATTGAGTAAAAACAAAACATCCGATCGATTAAGACTCAATCGGTTTGTTTTAACAATTAACTGCCGAAACAATACATATATTAGGAACGAATTGCATGAACGCAAAGTCGCATTACCCTTATTTCTTTTGATCGGCAGATTGTATAACAAAAAAAACAATTCCAGAAATTCAATCATTTAAGATTGAAATAAAAGTATGAATACTCCATATAATTCAATATGAAGAAGGCTCTCATACCAATTGTTGGAAAAAATCCGATAATACTTTAATCTTCATATTGGAATTATCTAGAGAAATAACTGAGCGGAAGCGTACCTGTCTCCATTGGAGATTATCTTTAAAGATCCGGGAGATGGAAGCTAGGGTTTGAGTCTTCTAGTTGATACACACCCTCGAGAATTATCTCTCTAGCGATGGGATGCAGAAAGACAAAATGACGTGTTCAACTAGGGACCATAACCCCTCTATTTATAGAGAATGCTTAACCCTAATCAGCTCATCATTAATTAGGTTAAGCACATGTGTCTCTACACATTTGGGCCCTATACTTTATTAGATAACATATTAGCCCATTTAAATTAATATCCATATGACCACTAATTTTTGAGCCTAAATTCAAGATAGCATATAACATACAATTAAACCGGATATATAATATACTGTGAATATTACATGTAGTATGAGTCCAATAATCTAACAGAATGTTGATCTTTGGTTTATTGGATGAGATTAACAGCACATTTATGGCAAAGAACTAGCTAGGAGGGCCAAAGCATAGTAGTTGTTATTTTACTATTTTAGTCCTGTTTGCAATTCATTAAACCATTTTGCTAGACAATTGATGTGTATAACCCTTATGTTTTTGTTATGTTTAAACTTAATGTTAGCACTTGATATTTTTGTGAACAATGGATGATCACCAGTGGCGGAACCAGCTTCGTGATCTTGGAGGGGCACATTACCTCAGAAGGCTCGACTCTTTACTACCTTTAGAAATCTGTGTACAAAATCGATTCATATGAATTCCTTGTCAAACTTGAGCCTGACTATCCACAACCACAAAAAATAGCAAGCTCAGTACATGGCTATAGCCCAAAATACACAATAGCAAAGCCGCTACGCCAGTCACCTCAAAACAATAAGGCTTTCGATCAGGGGCGGAGGCAGAGCACTAGGTCGGGCTGGTCCGGTACAAAGAATATTTTTAGAAAGTAAGCAATTTTTAAAATTTGAGGTGGGCCATGGCCTAAGTTGGCCCACCCCTAGCTCCGCCCATGCTCTCGATCAGTCGCTATACCTAGTGGTCGCCAGCGTTATTCACTTATTCCGGCCTAATTCCGGTGAATTCCAAAGAAACCCTCTCAATGTGATCAACCCTCCAAGCTTCAACGTTAGTAGTTGAGCTCATAAATATATTACTCCCTTTGTTTTGTTAAGATTTTCTTACATTTTCTTTTCAGGCTGCCTCATTAACACTGATCAATATCAAATTTGATTGTGGTTCTAAATTATTTTTACATTCAAAAGTTGATTGTCGACCACCCTGTATAATATATATGTATAGAGTCATTCTCCTGTCCAGCAGTCTCCGGTCCGAACGTCGTCCGAACACCGCTGTTTGGGGAGGTTCCAGGTGGAATTTTTTCATGAATTGTTTTGAGCATGTTCCTCATCAAGTCTAGTTTTTCCATACCAGATTTCAGCTTAAAATTCGATCGCAAAGGCAGTCAAACAATTTGTTGAAGTTTACTGCGCCAAATTATACATAGAAAAATGCAGTTAACTTCAAAAAATTATTTTACTGGCTTCCCGATCGAATTTTAAGCTGAAATTTAGTATGGATAAACTAGACTTGATGAGGAACATGATCAAAATATTTCATCAAAAAATTCCAACGGGAACCGCCCCAAACAGCGGTGTTCGGACGGCATTCGGACAGAAACGTGTTGGACCTGAAAATTTCTCTCTATATGTATAATAAAAAGAAATCTGCAGAGCCGCAGGGGCACAAGCACCCCCAAGCTCTAGTGTAGTTCCGCCCCTAATGATCACATATGCATACATATTGGTCATAACTTTGACAAATTATTATCATGATTTGAAATTTAGATATTTAAATTCAAAAGAAAAAAATATAACTTACTTTAAATATGGGGTATTTTGAGTTTGCACCCCATTTTATTGTCGAAATTAGACTTTGCACCCCGTTTTTGAAATCTTTAGTATTTGCACCACAACCCCGTATGAAAAGACTAAAATGTCCCTCGATTAACAATTTTGTTGGCCTTCAACATAATCCTGATCGAGTGGCATTTTTGTCTTTTCATACGAGGTTGGGGTGCAAATACTAATGATTTCAAAAACAGGGTGCAAAGTCTAATTTGGATAGTAAAATGGGGTGCAAACTCAAATTATCCCTTTAAATATTATTTAAGAATTGCAATTTTTAAATTATTTTATCAAATTTTAACCAAAATCGAACCGTCCTGGGCCTAAAATATTGGGTTGAGAATAAAAAAGTGAAGTTTTGTGGTGCAAGACTTAAATACAAAAAATAAAATCAATAAAAACTAATGGCCAATGATAATTTGATTTGATAAATAATAATTTGGGTTGATGATGACATTGTTTTAAAAACATTACTTTGGTAGAAAGTCTACGTTTCTTTTCAAATACATACTCCCTCTGTCCCACCGTAATCTCTCATTTTTACTTTTCCATTCATCCCACTAAATTTGTTCCGATAATATTTGTGTGGCTCTAATTTACTCTTACTTTATTTCTACTTTATCATTTCATTATCAATCTCATAACTTTATTTATTCTTACAAATCTCATCACTCTCCTTTGTACCCATCTTAGAGGAAAGGAGATTGTAACAACTTTTTATAATTCATTTCCATTCTCCTATCGATAAGGTGACAGAGATCAATATTAAATTACATTTTCACCGTATTTTAGTCATATTTATGTCATTCCCTCTGTTCTTATTGAAGTTTAAAGACGATTGTTTTAAAATTTAAATACTTTTAACTATACATCGGGCTACCTTATTTTTAAGAGAAAATGGTCAAATAAGTCTTTCTACTATCTTTAAACCATCATTTAGGTCCATCTACTCAAATAAGTGTCATATTCACCTCTCTACATGTTGAAAACAATCTTTTAAAGCCAAGTGACCTGCAAGTAACTTGTTGAACTCAATAAATGAGACGTGTAGTTACAAATAAGGCCATGTCAACTCATTTTATACATGTGGGTTTTATAACAAAATTTCATTTTCTTTTTTCTTCTCTTTTTCATTTTTCCTTTTGGTTTTGCATTATCTCCCTTCTTCCTATCCCTAACCAAATACAAAGTACTACGCATATCAGATGCATCTAATGTGTATGTAAACGTATATCACATACTGCATAACTTCCTCTTTCTACAGTGCAAAACAAAAGAAAATATATCAGCCCCATTTATAGAATTCATCTTCTCCAAAATGAATTACAAGAAACAAACCAAATTAAAGGATAACGTAATTAATAAAAGAAAATAACAAAGATAGAGACAAAGAAAGTGGGTGAAGCTTTGACGTCATTGAGGCGTTTTTGTGGTCTCTATGAGACGAGGCATTTTTGTGGTCTCTATGAGACACCAGTATTTGTTCTACCGTCCTTCCCATATGAAGATTGTGGAGAGTCGATTTCACTGAAATTAATTGCCCTCAATAGGCCGTCAATCTCTTGGAAACCACCGAGTTAAAGCCATGGAGAAGACATAGTCACGCCAAAGCATTGAAGACATGAATTCCGGCCAACATATGTCCGAACTATAAAATTCAGCAAAAATATTACCTAAATACCTACTTCTAGCCAACATTCTTTTCCGGAGAGATTTAAAGCTAAGGAAAAGAAAGAAGATGAATTGAAGATATATGGAGGCATATGAGTTGACCAAGAAACAGACCAAGGAAGAAGACAATGAAGATGGAGGCATTTCCGTCGACCAAGGTATTGGGACCAAGAATTAACAAAATTAAAAGAAAAGAAAACTGGGGAAAATGCCACATAAGCAATTAACCTGCTAAATCAGGTCATCTTCAGATCAATTGATCTAAATGACTTCTTTTTACAAGTAGACACATAAATATGATACTTATTTAACTAGATGCATCTATGTGATGGTTTGAAGATAATAAGAGGTCTTCTTTGACTCGTTTTCTATTTTTAATTTAAACACTTCTAACTATACTTTTCTCCAAACTCACTTCTAGCCAACATCTCTTGATATTTCCTATGAGATTCAACTTTCTCCAACTTGAACCTCTCATAGCAATCAGCAATGAACGCTTCTGCTATCCGATCAATGTCATCATCACCGCCCACCTCCTCCTCCCCATCAAGCCAGTCAAGGTATCCCGACAGCCCGGCCGGAGACTGATCAGCATTAGAACGACGGCTAACGCGGACCGAGTATGGCGGTGGAGGAGGAGCGGGGACGTGATCAGAAGAGGAGCACCACTTGTAGAGTGGCTTAATAAAGGAGCTGAGCTTCAACGCCTTTTTGCGGAGCTGGTCGTTGTTGAAGGCCGCCTTCTTGCTATTATTACTCTTCTTGACTATGAGGATGGCCATCCGTCGCTGCACGGCGGCGAGATGTTTGAGGATGCGGTGTCTGAGAATGGACTTCGCTCTGTGAAGAGATCCAGCAGTGCGGTAGAGGTGGGAGTAGAGTCCTGCTAGGATTAGGGTTTTCAGTAAGGTTGTTGATGATGGATAAGGAGGAGGGTGTGAAGGAGAGGGGCCACCCATTCTCCTTTTCATTTTCTTTTCAGTCTTCATCTAGCTAAGTCTTTCCTATTTTACACACAATAAATTAAAGGTAAGCTAGGTTCTGTATATATAGTGGGGATGGAATGGCTTATTAGCCACCTCTAATCTAATATTGACTGCCCTACCGTCTAGCCTGTATGGTTGGAGAAAGAATACTTACTAGCTAGGGGGAATGAAATCCTAATTTTCTTGAAAGGGAATATCTGTCGAATAAATTATGGATTTTTATTTTAGGTAGATTCTATGATACGATACCCTTAATGTATTGTACCTTTATCCACATGGACCAATCAAAATGATATAGTTGAATTATTTAAATCTAAATTAAAAATGATGTAATGATTTGAACCAATCAAATGAGTGGCATGTACGGTACCCCCATTTTTTAAATGGATACTGGAGTTGTCACCTTTATTTTATACCTACATAATACAATAGGCTAGGTGGTAAAAATACCACATGCTATATGATCAGACTCTACTTGTACTATCTGGATCCAAGTGTTATAAAACGGGACATTTTTTCATATATCTCCGACTTGTCGTTTAACCGTATAATAATTGCTCCAGCCATTTCATATATGATACGTATATTGGTTTTGATTTTACCACCTCCACCATTGTTACTTTTCATTTTAATAGCTAATTTATGATTAATGTGAATTATTTATTTTCCTCACAAATTGATTATTGACGTCATATCGAAACAGAAACAATGAAGATGATAATTTCATAACACAATGTTCCGGAGATGAAAGAGAACAAGCAGAGACATTGATTTGGGTTTTCTGTTGGAAGTGTGAATTAAAGGGAGTGAATGGATAACCTTTAGGGGTTGTTTGGTTCAGGGAATATCATATTATCACAGGAATATTATATTGTTAGATATGTTAGATTGATGAGAATTTATACATTTTATTCTCATTTGTGTTTGATTAAGATTACGTGAATGTGATATTATATCTTATATTGCAGATATTATATATTATATTGCAGATTACTTGGTTGAAAGATATCTTATATTGAGATATAGTGAATTTCAATGCCCTTTAAATATTTTATCTTAACACAATAAATCTATTACAACCTACATCTAAAGTAATTTAAATTAAAGAAAAAATGAAATATCTTAATAATAAATAAAATCAAACCTAATTAAATTATTTTTAAGTAAACTACGTTTAATTGTAAAAAGTTGTAGATCCAATTCAAAAGTGAAAAAAACTTTGTTCAATTAGTAATCTAAATATATTTATTATTATTTCAAAAAAAATTAAAAATGTTCAAATTATTCATAAAACGTCTTTTCAAATTAAAGAAAAATGATCAATTTTGCTATTAAATTTTTAAATCCGCTCATCAAAAACTTAAATAATCTATAAGTCTTATAAAATAAATACCTTATAAAATTTAAATGTTAAGGGGAAAAAATTATGAAAATAACTAGAATGACCTTCGAATATAATTAAATAAACATACTTCATCATCTGTCCCACTTAAAAGGGTATTTTCGGAAGAAAATTAGACCATCCTCGGGAATGTAAGATAACCTAAGGCATGGATGGTTAATTATAAGATTCCCCTTCGTATTACATTCCCGGGAATGTAACTTTTCCGATTTTTTCTTAAATTCGTGAACAAAACATGAGTATTTGACATTCCGTGCATCACATTCTGGCCTTCATGTGAGATTACCCCAAACCAAACAGGCCGTTAGACTTTCTATATATTCTACTTAAGTAGATCTCAAACCGGTGGGCGTAGCTCAACTGGTAGCAAGGGAGTGACACAAGGGTTAGGTCCCGGGTTCGAATCCCAGCAACTGCGATGAGGGATTACTATGCTAAAAATGCATAGAGGCTCTGCAAGTACCGGGGACAGAGCCTCACTCTCTATATGTTAGATTGAGATTATAGTCCAATTTACATCCTCCCAACATACCGTCCGGTCGGGGTTGGGGGTCCTCAGGGATGGGGTGTCATCCTTTTATACTTAAGTAGATCATATCGGTCATTCGGTCACAATTGTTTCGCATATCAGTCATTCGGTCACAGTTGTTAAAGTTTAAGGCCTTGTTTGGTTCAAAGGAGGGGATGAAAGGGGAGAGTCAAGGAGGGAAGGGAAGGTGAATGAAGGATTTTGATAAAAATTTGTGTTTGGTTGGAGGAAATGAGAGGACAGTTTTAATGAAAATATTTTCGCAATTTACTTTTATTTGATACCTTACTTAAAAAAATAGATATATATCTAACTATTGTGAATATTACTCCTATGGTCATGAGTCATAATTTTGTTTTATTTGATTTTTTGCTTTTTTAATTTTATAATTTGTCATTTTTCAGTTTGGAATTTTTAATTTTTAATTTTTTTTAAAAATTTTTTTATTTTATTTTTTAAAATTTTTAATTTATAATTTTTAAATTTTTTAATTTTTCTTTCAAAAAAAAATTAAAATTTTTATTTTTTTAATTTTTAAATTTTTGTTCTTTAAATTTTTAAATTTTTTAATTTTTAAATTTTTCAAAACGTTTAGTTTTTTTTCCTTTTTATATTATAACATTTTGTTCATTCACGTAGGAGATGTATATTTTGTGGTTATCAACACGTTTCCTCCTACGTGTTGATAACCACAAAATATCCATCTCCTCTAGAATGGGAGGAAGTGGATGATTTTGAAAGTCTTCCACTTTCCTCCTCCAACCAAACAGGGCCCAAAGGAACAAGCGAGTATCACATGATGAATTTATCGTTTTTATATAACTTCATTAATTTTATTAATGAAATATGTTTTGAATATAGTTATTAATTTTATGATTTACAAACTCAAAATTTCAGTTAGAACTTTACCAACAAATTTAGTCTATTTCAAAGTGAACCACATAATATATTTTAAAAAATATACCGTTTGAGCAGACAATAAAATAAAAGAAATTAAAGAATTTAGCCTCTTGATGAGAAAGAATTTAGTGCTCTAGTTAAAATATATTCTTTTCAACAAGCAGATGTATCTTACATGGGGTCGAATTGGATTCCACTAATCTATTTCTTATCGGCTAAACACAGCGTTAAAAGATGCCGAAATTTTATTATAGGGAGTGTTTAAATTCATATTTTGCAACTGCAATTTATGAATATGTGAGTCAAAAATATTTAAGGGATACGTTAGATGCATAAATCAATCAATTCTTTAATTTAACGAAACAAGTGTGCACAAATAATTAGATGGCTCCCTGGGGAATAATATCATGAGAGAATTTTCTAAATAGGAGTAAAAAAGTTTTGAAATTCCAAAATAGGACTATCATGTTTTTTATTCATTAAATATGAGTAAATTTCTTACAAGTTTGACATTACTAGGCTTTAAAACATGACATTTTTTTTCAAACTTGGAAAATTACTCCTATTCGAGGAATAAGAAATATAATACTCATATTTTGGAATTTAAAAATGTTTTTACTCATTAAGTTTAGACGTTTAATGGCATCTTTATTTTTGGTCTAAAATCATTACACTGGCAGAAAACACCCACACACAAGGTTATATTTTCTCATTTAAAGATGTTTACACAAATCTTTTCCGACTTACCAAAGAAGTTATTTTCAGCGAATTGGTGCATACATGCTCCTATATCCTACATCCGTGTGGGGTACATCCAATCCACTTGAGCAAAAAAAAAATTCTCAACTAAATGAGTATTAGTGTACTTTTAATGAACATCTGACATATTTTATTGAGTATTGAGAGGCTAATCATGAGAATCACGATTTCTGCTTCATATCTTCTAATCCAACTTGTTTTCTTATATTTTCTTTTATAAAAATTTATTAAATTATATATATAATTCACTCCTATGAATTTGTATATGCGAATTTAATATAATATGATACTTTTGAACTATGCATTGATATGACATTTTAAAAATGAACGTAAAACCAGTACCAAATGAGCATACATAATTTACAAAATGCTCATTGAAATGAAATTGTAAGGTTTGTTAGTAGTTTAACATCGCGACATTTTCATTGAGCATCAAACATTAATGCACTTTTAATGAGGATCATACCTATCATGTTGAGCGTTAGTTTCATCAACGTTGATATGACATTTTAAAAATGAGCATAACGTCAGTACTAACTGAGCATACATAACTTACAAAGTGTGAATTGATATGAAACTCATAAGTTTTGTTGGTTGAACATTACGACATTTTCAATGAATATCAAACCAACTTGAGATGAAAATCATGATTTCTGTTGAATGAGCATTAATAATCTTTTGATGAGCATCAGACCTATTATCTTGAGTATTAAGCGTCACATATTAAAATGAGCATATAACCAGTACTGAATGAGTATACACAATTTAAAAATTGAGTATTGAAAAATTCAAAAGCTCATTTCAAATCTCCATTGGATCAAATATACATTAATGTTACATCAATGTGCATTTACTTTAAACGATATACTCATTGTCGTATAACACAAAACTCATCTTAATAGCCTCCATGAGTACTCATTTTAAAACATTATATCAATACACATTCCCTGTAAACAATAATACTCATTTGAGTTTAAGATAAAACTCATTCCAAGGTATATTATTTGCAAATAGTCTTAATATGATTAATTCTTTTACTCACTTATGAGTATATTTTATAACGAGAAATATTAAGAAAATTTATCTATAATAAGTATTTTTTATACAAATGCGTCAAACAATAAAATAATTCATCAAGATAAGTACACACAATTTACAAATCGTGTATCGAAAAATTCAAAAGCTCATTTCAAATCTCCAATGGATCAAATATTCATTAATGTTACATCAATGCGTATTTACTTTAACACAAAACTCATTTTAATAGCCTCCATGAGTACTCATTTTAAAACATTGTATCATACACATTCCCTGTAAACATTATACTCATTTGAGTGTAAGATAAAACTCGTTCCAAGGTATATTGTTTGCAAATAGACTTAATATGATTAATTCTTTTACTCAATTATGAGTATATATTGTAACGAGTAATATTAGGAAAAGTTATTTATAATAAGTAGTTTTTATACAAATGTATCAAACAATAAAATAATTCATCAAGATAAGAATGAACATTCACTTTGGAATTTTTTCAAAGGCTTGATGGGCATTCAATATTTCAGGAATAATTTAAAAAATTTGGAGTATTACTAATGAAGGAGGGAAAGATATTTTAATCTAATTGTCATCCCATTATTCAAAAAAATCCACCGGGAAGGGCCCCCCAGAAAGGCTCGGCCGGATGGAGGTTTCCGTCAGGCCGGCCTAACATGTAGAGTACTATATATAGTAGCCTGACGGGAACCTCCGTCCGGCCGAGCCTGTTTGAGGCCCTTCCTGGTGTATTTTTTATGAAATTTTTTGAGCATGTTCTTCATGATTTTC